CCAGGTTGGGGAAGCATTGAAAGCATTGGATATTTGCAAGCCAGGCATAAAAACCATAAGCGCTGATTGGCACCAGTGTGCTCAGCACTTGGGTGAACAGCTGGTTTTTCACCCCTGTACAGGTGCCACCTTACAGGTGCTTTAGCCACGGCTTGCGGAGATGATGCCATCCGTGTGTTTGAGGAGGAGCCCCTCTCGGACCCCCAGCAGCCCACCTTCATCCTGACTGCCCACATGGCCCGGGCTCACTCCCAGGATGTGAACTGTGTGGCTTGGAACCCCAAGGAGCCGGGGCTGCTGGCCACGTGCAGCGATGATGGAGAAATGGCCTTCTGGAAATACCAGCGCCCCGAGGTTTGCTGAGAGTGTCCGGCTTCTCCCATTCCCCATGGCTATGATGCTGCAGTCCTTGAGCCACTGGTTCCAGCACTGTAACACTGACCCACACACACCTGGGTGCCCAGCTGAGCTGCATCCCCTCAGGAGAAACAATCAAATGTGTAGACGATTGTGCAAACTTGCTATGCACTGCCCATCTCCCCATCCTGATTTTTCAGAAGACACATTTCCCGGGTGACAACTACTAGCTGAGGGGAAGACATGGCCCTTTTTCTGTACAGATTCTTGAGCCAATTGTACAGAAGCGAGGTTTCTGTGTACCAGGAAGGCATTTCCCATCGCTTCTGTGCTAGACCCAATATGGGAAGCAATAAGTCCTTGTAATTTATAGTTTCCACTGGTAAGAGCAGTTTCTCAAAGAGACAGGTTTGTATGGGGGCAGTCCAAAGAGGGGGGTTGCAGAAGGAAAAGAGGAACAGTTCTTGAAGCTAGCTGGTTTAAAGGAAAAAAAAAAACCAAAGTTAAAAATGATCATGTACTGTTGTGTGTCTGTCATTTTCTCTCTAAATTAGCTTTGAGGTAGTGTTTCTGAAAGGGAAAGTGTGCCCCACGTCAGCAACAGGGAGGTGGGTTGGTGTGAAGTAGTTCTCTTTTTTACCACCAGTGATGGTTTTCCTCACTGGAAAGGCCAGGTTGAGGGTGTCCTCCTGACAGGGAAAAGCTTCCACTGTGGGGCCAGTGGGTGCACTGAGCATGCTGTAGGTACCATCACAGAATCGATTCACTTCACAAAAGGCAAACAAGTGCGTATAAGAGACACAGCTAGCCCAGAAACTGTAATATAAAGCAAGGACTATGCTCCCCTGATACAAAAGTACACCTTGGAAGCCACTGTTTTTGCTTCAGTAAGTCAGTTTCACAGAATGGCAAACTGGCAAGGCTACAATGCAAATAACTTGAATGCCCCACATACCCCATGGCATGCCAGACATACCCCTTCTCCTGTTCCACCAGGCTGCCAGACATTTTCCTCTAAGCCCAGAGAAAGGAAAGCCGATTAACATGAGCCGTATTCTTATTGAGTTACTTTGAATTTTCTATGCCTGCATAAACTATGGTCAAACTCCACCACCTGTGCACATACCAAGATGTTAGTTACCTTCACTTGCTGCAGGAAATGGAAAAGTTCTATTCACAGCGCACATACCATGGGATAATTTGCCTTTAATCCTTCAGTTGCTTTGCCAAAGGAACCAGTACATGAAAATACATCTATACCTGTGCAAGCAGGCCCTTCTGCACCGACCGCATTTTCACCTGTGGCTGGAGGTTCATTTCTGCTCCAACTGGAAGGTGCAGGCTGCAACTGTTAGCATTCCTGGCCACTGACTGCTGACGAATGGGAGGTGAAATCCAAAACGGCGCACACGCGCCCTAAGCTTACTTGCGCCCATGTTCACAGGGCTGCGTTTGTACCTCAGTGAGCACATGGCAGATTCTGGCGGGGCCAGTCCATTCAGCGCTAGCAAGTACCAAGGAAGTGGTCGAGTTGGGTTCCCCTGAAAGGAGGAGCAGAAGCACAGCCACGAATTGCATGCCTCAGTGCCACCAAGCCCGGGCACGGATGTGTGCCAGCAGGATGCTCCACTGCTTGACTGCGGGAGCGGCACGAGCAGCAGCCACGGGGGCCGGTCGTGATCCCTGCACTGCAGTGTCGTATCGAGGCTTTGCTTTCCCTCATCAGGGAACTCATGTGGTGGATATGCTCTGGCTTCGACCAGAACCGGCTGCCTGCCCCTGAAGGACCAGCTGCTCCTCCCAAGTCCCAGCAAAGACGGGCCCAGTGGGGAGTAAGCCAAACGTAAGTTACCATCCTTCCCTTGCCCCAGTAAAAGGAACATGGACTCTGTTCCTAAAGAGCTTTATTGGAGAAATTAAAGTGGCCAACTCAGCTCTTTTACTTAAAACACTGTACACAAAGCTACAGTCTGAGTTTCAAAGATGCAAAACAGGGCAATTCTTCCATGCAGGTTGCCCTTCTAGCAACTGGTACCACACACAAAAGCGCTGAGCATCGCTGCTGCTTGGAGGCTTTGATGGAAGGAGCCTGCTCTCATGGAGGAATGATGCAGAAACAGTCCTGGGATCAACTGTGAAGGGTCCCAAGGGCTGCCCTCCTGCCCCTGGAGGCTCAGAGTTGGCCCAGTGAGGTGCACACCACGTGCCTGGCTCAGTCAGAATCGCTGTCACTCTCTGCCTCCTTCACATCCACACTGAACTTGTACTCCTGGTCACAGCCCATGTAGGCATCACTCATGAAGTAGAGGGTGTAGTTGTGTGTGCCGGTCGCTGGGGCCACGAAGTCCAGTTTCACCTAAATAAAAAGTGTCAGCTGTGAGCTGTGGCACTCAGTTCAGTGCTGTTCTTAGTTCTGGCAAGGGCAGCAAAGACAATGATGAAGGATCACAGGGACTGTAGGACAAAGCATCTAGAGCAGCACAAATACCCTCTCCCTGCCTTACAGGAAGGAAACACCCAAGTTCAAGATAATGGAACTCCACGCACAGTGTGCAAAAACACCCACAAAACCCTGGAATGCTTGGCGTATGTTTTTATGTACAAAGTGCATATTTGGTAAGTAAAGCATAGCCAAACCAGGACACTTTTTAATGGTTTGCAGGTTACTGCTAACCACCACTTCACACATTCATATTGCAAATTCTTGGTTATAGAGAAGGTTTAAAAGATTCAGTAGCCTTCCAGTGTGAGAGCAGATTGTTCTGCAGTGTCAGGAATGCAGAAAATGCATTAAGTGCGAAATTTAGCTCTCCAAGCTCTCATTTAACAACAACAGTCACTTGCCCTTATGCCTTTCAAAGTCATGACTGAAAGTTTGTGGACAAGGCCTGCTGTGTTATCAGAAGTGCATGGCAGCATAGAGGAAGGGACAACACATTTCCCAGGTTCAGGGAGTGAGCGTTACTCCTCCAACCACCTCACTGCCCATCCGAGCAAATGCAGACCCAGAATTGTGCGAATTGGCTGCTTGCATACGCTTCCCAGAACACACAACCCAGCTCTTCCTGAGATGGGTAGTTCCTGGGCCATGGAACTTTAATTTTTCCCCAGTCAAGAAAATACCCGCCAAGCCTTGCTTGTACACACCACACCAGGGCATAACTCCACGTGTCTCACAAAGGCGACATTGCCAGGGCTGCACTAGTATGAAGACGCTGAGCTGCCAGTCGGGGACTAAACAAGATCTCAGCTCACATCCTTGTGGCTCTTTTGCTTTGAATGCCCAAGGCAGGGCCAAGCCATGAACCCCTGACCTGCGCCTTCCTTTATCGTGGCCAGCACAACGCTCGAACATGTGGCACTCACTCCCCCGCAAGGCCCTTTCCCCGCAAATGGACTCGGGGTGCTCCAGTCCTTCTCGGCTCACCTTGGCCTTCTGCTGCAGCGTCAGCCTCTTGATGGAGATGAGGCTGTTAGATTTTGAGTCGCCGATCACCACCCACCAGCCCTCCTCACGTTTCTGTAGAGAAGAGGGGGGAGAAGACATTCTTCCTACTGCTCTGCGGCACCCAACCTCAGCAAACCCAGCCCCGTCATGCTCATCCGGACCTCCCACAACAGGAGTTTTCTCCCCCTCCCCGTCTCATCAGCAACAAGCCGGCCAGACCCAGGGCAACGTACCTGTGGGAAGAGGGGGGCAATCACAGGCCCCGTCACTTCCTCTTCTCGCTCCAGTTGCACCAAGACGACCACTGGGCCTCCGCTGCAGAAACAAAGCCAGATGAGGCATCAGGTGCTCCCTTGGTATGACGTACCCTGGAATTACTGGGCTTCTTTCTTGGAGCACTTGGGTCTGAGCGCCAGTGAGGCTGCAGACCACACCAGAAACCCGCTTCCGGGACAGGGGCCTGACCAGCAGAGCGTTCACGCGGAAGGGGCCGGCGTTCTTTGCCTTTGCTGTTGCCAAGAGCCCTCTGAGCAACTCCAGGAGGAATAATCAAGAACACACAACGCTGAGAGTGTGCTTTGGCCTCTCTCGAACCTTGCTGCAGCAAACGGTAAACCCAGCTCAGAATTGTGACACCCACAGAGCAAACTGAGGGGAGGGGGGCACTTGCCCAAGGCTGCCTCCTGGAGCACACGACACACTCTTAGCCCTTAGATAACTTGGCTGGGCACAACCCTCACTCTGCCCACCCACCCTTCAGTTCCGGGCCATAACGCTGCCTAACATAAGAGGAGATACAGCAAAGCACGTCGAACTCGCCACAAGCCCTTTTACCTGCGAATGCTGCCCTTTTCCACCACCTCATAGGAAAGCTCGATGTTGGGGTAGCGGTTGCAGAAGCGAGCGACGTCCGCAATCTGGGCATCGGAGAGCTGCAGCAGCGCGTTGCGGTCCTCGTCCTCCATTTCCATGATGTCGAAGACGCTCTCCACCCCCTGCCGAGGCAAGCAGACATGGTATGAACAGTGCCCCGTGGCCAGGAGGGAGTGGCTTCCTGGGCACTGTACACCCGGGTACAGCAAGGCCCCTCCGCCAGCCTCCTGCCTGCCCCTACCTTGTCCGTGCAACGTTTGATGTGCTCCAAAGTGAAGTGCGGCAGCTGCTTCAGGTAGGAGTCCTTGGACCACATTGCCTGGGTGACCATCTGGGCCAGTTCCATGGCGGCCAGGGCGGGGCTCAGCCAACCGTTGCTCGACAGGACGTCCACACAGGCTTGGATCAACCGGATTGCCTGGGGAAAGGGGCAGACCACAAGGCTTCAGCACCCAGCCCACCTACTAAGCCCCCCCCCCCGGGTGACATAGAAAAATAGAAACAGAGCAAGTCAGAAGGGGCCTCCCAGGCCATCTAGTCTGACCTCCGTCACCAGCCGGCTCCACTCACGACATGCCCACCATGTGCCTGTCCATCCTATCTTTGAACACCCGCACCAATGGGGCCCCAACGACCTCTCGTGGAAGCCCATTCCACCCCCTCGGGGTCATAACTGTCCAGAAGTGCTTCCTGGGTTCCCTGAGCTTTGCTCCATTGGAGCGCGTCCTGCCTTCCTCTGGAGGGGAGAACAGGTCTCTGCCCCCCTCCGTGCGACATTCCCTCACGTACCTGCATGTCGCCAACATATCCCCTCTGAGTCTCCTCTTCTCCAGGCTGAAGAGGCCCAGTTCCCTCAGTCTCGCCTCATACAGCATCCCCTGCAAACTGGCCACCAACCTTGTGGCCCTACGCTGCACTGACCCTAACCCGGCTATATCCTTCCTGTAACGAGGGGCCCAAAACTGAGCACAATACTCCAGTTGCAGGGGCACCAGACTCATATAGAGTGGTAGTAACACCTCTCCCGATCTAGAAGCCACACTTCCGGCTATGCAACCAAGGGTGGCGTTCACCCTCTTGACCACCGCATCACACGGCTGACTCATGTTCAGCCTGCAGTCAACAAGCACCCCGAGGTCCCTTTCACAAGGGCTGCTCTCCAGCCAC